TAAACCCTTCCATCTCCCAAGTTGCTTGCTTCAGTGCTATACTTCCAGTGCTAGTATTTCACCCTTTGGTGTTAAGCATTACTCTCTCTCTCTGAGTTGAGAGTTTACTAACCACACCTTACTATAGGTAGCACTGTTGGGGGAGGAGCTTTTAGGCAGCTCCAGTCTGAGTCTTTTCCACTCTCCACCAAACAGGTATCTAGGCTGCTGAGATGCCAGGGCCAAGACCTCGGAAGGGCCCTCAGGCCAGTGGCCAAGGTGTGGCAGCTGCTAAGCAGGTATGTATACAGCTTTTTTCACCCCTGGGCCACTCTGAGTGTGGGGGTTCCTAAACAGCTTGGGCAAACTGGGTCACTTGTATGGTATCCCCATTAGCCCAGAGACTTAGAGCAGTGCTTCTGGAGTTGGCAGAGCCTGTAGAGACCCTCTGCCTATTCTCTGCCAGACATACCTGGGAGATGAGGCCAGAACTCACCTGTGTTTCAACCCAGGCATCGTTCTGCCATGGCCACCTCCATATGAATGATCTAGAGGGTTCAAGAACCACTAAGGTTTAGGGTGTTCTGAAGGGGCCAGCGTTCTCATGGGTTCTTTATTTAGGGCCATGACTACTTGCTGGGGTTTGAGGGCTGTGTCTGCTGGAAGAGCTTTGCTGCCTTAGGGATCCGTTCCATAATCTTCCCTTTATTTATTTTGGTCCAAGTACTAAGACTTCTTAGTCCATTTTTATTGTCTTAAAAGAGGCAGGTAAGGAAGGTGGTAGAATAAAGAGCTTAGACTCAAGTCATAAGACCTTATTTTAAATTCTAGCTCTGCCACTTACAAGGTCGTCTCAGTATTATCTGAACATGGAGATAAAAATAGGGCATACTGTTACTTTGAGTGGTCAAATTTATAGAGAAAGTTGAATGTGGTTACCAGGGGAAGGAGAGAATAGGAAGTTGTTTAAGGGTACCAAGTTTCAGTTCTGCTAGATGAAAGGAGTTCAGGGATGGATGACAGTAGCCCAACAATGTGAATGTACATAATGCTGCTGAACTCTACACTTAAAAATGGTTAAGATGATAATTTTCATGTTATATATGTTTTCCAAAAAAAAAAAAATAGAGCCTGCCACTCAGAATTGTGAGAATTACCTAAAGCAGTCATGTAGGGTGCTAAGCACAGTACGTGGCAGCTAGCACTGTTGCTGTTGTGAGTGATGATGATGGTGGTGTAGTTTTACTGGGTCTTTGTAGAGTAACTAGGGAGAAAAGTGTCCTAAAGGGTAATGTTGCAGCCTCAGTTTTCCTTTCCATGCACTGGGCCTCAGACAGTGAAGGAGCCAACGACTGCCAGGAGACTGGCTCTGGGGCTGGGCTCTACCCTCTGCCTCATTGCATGATTCCTAAAAAACTTTCTCTGTTCTCAGCTGGGGCTCTTTGTGGAATTCAGCCCTGATGACATGCTGCTGGGGGTGGAGGACACTGAAGATGATGGGGACCTGGAGGCTGAGCTGCTGGCCCTCACTGGGGAAGCAGGGACTACAAGCAGAAAGCCAGCACCTAAGGGGCACAGTGAGTTTGCGGCACTGGGCTGGACCCGGTGCTGGGACCAGATGGGCTCAGGCAGTTGGAGGAGAGGTTCCACAGCCCGATGACTTGTTTTTCTGATGTCCATGTCCCTTCTGCAGCACTCCCACCAAGAGGCCATCTTGCCATGCTCACACACCTGTGTGATGGGGAGCTCACTTCTTCCCTGGATTACCCGCCTCCCCGTTGTGGACAGTCAGCAGTCTGACTCTCCGACCGACTTGGGTCACTGTCCTTAGGCCTAGTATAGAGTAGGGACTCAGCACAGACTGAATTGGGCGCTAATAAGTGCATAGAAATTGTGTCACATGAATAAGTGGAATAAGTGGAATATCCCTCCCTAGCCTGGAAGAGGACAGAGATCTGAAGTCTAAGAGGGTCAAAGGGTCTAGATCTTAATCTCTTCTCACCAGGAACCCTCTCCAAGCCCCCCTTCACCTCCAGTCCCACATACCCCTGAGATGAGAATGGGAGGACCTGGAAAGGGGACCACTGGTCTGGGAGAAACACGGCCCTCCATTCTCTAAGTCCAAACGTGCTTTAGAGTTAGACAAACTGGGTTTGAATCATGGCTCTGCCACTTAGTAGGATCACAATATTAGGAAATTTAATATTGGTAGTTCTCAGTTTATTCATATATAAAATGAGATAATATTACCTGTCTTATTAAGTTTTGATGTTAAAAATCTTTACATATGTGAAAGGTGTGGTTAGGGGGAATGGATGAATATGTCTATGATGAACTACCACAGCAAAAAGGCTGAGACGAGAATAGCTTTGTTTTCTATGGGAGGGCCCGGGAAGGATTCCCTGCTGAGGGTTTTTGAGCTGGCTCATAAAGGAAGAGCATAGGTTTTATAGGTGGGACTTTGGCTGTGGAAGGGCAATATTTCTCCCTGGGTGTAGAAATGTACAGTGCATTGAAGATCGTTTTTGTGGACCTTTTCTGAGTTGCCCTGACCCTTTGTTCCCGCAGCCCCCTTGCCTATGGCCCACATCGAGAAGTTGGCGGCAGACTGTATGCAGGATGTGGAGGAGGAGGAGGAAGAGGAAGGGCTGGAAGAGGATGCAGACTTGCTGGTGCGTCTGCCATTTTGTTGTCCGAGGGCTCTGTGGTCAAGCCTGTGGAGGAGGCCTGGGTTTGTCCTTCTGTGTGCCCTGATGTTAAGTGAGTGCCTTGCCCTTCTTGGGCCCATTTTCCTGACTGGACAGTGTGAGACTAGTCTCCTTTGATGTCTGGTGTGAGCTCTGCATTTGGGGATTCTCAGATTTGTAGTCTTCACTATTTAAAAGACTATCTTCAGTCAGATTAAAGTGTTTCGGTAAAGGGGTCTTTCGGGCACAGTGACTGATGTTGGGAAGTACTCTGGGGGAGAGGGCCCTTTATTTTCAGATCGTATCACAGGTATGGCCATGAGGCTCCCAAGCTCCTGTGCCTTGTGTCTCCCCAGACTGAGCTGCAAGAGGTCCTGGGTACAGATGAGGAAGCTGGGCCCCTGGATGGTGATGAGACAGCCAGCCTGGGTGGCCGTGAGGAGGAGAAGGGACAGGAAAACATTGAACCTCCAGTACAGACAGCTCTCCTAACAACTTCAGTTCCAGCAGCTCAGGTAAGTTCTGGAGGGACTTTTTTGTACCTTTGATACCCCTACATACCCGTGTATAACATGCACGTAACATGGCTTGTGAAGGAAAGCTGCAGTATCCCTTTCTAGGGCACCAAGCAGTGACCGCGCATGAAAAACTCTTTGGTGGCGGGCTGGCCCCAAAGGCTCCTCTGTTCTCACAGACCACCTCCTGCAGCTGTCCACAGATTGCCTGGGCCTTTGTGTTTGCCTCTGACATGGCCTCTGGCCTCTCCAGTGAGTCTTTGCCTCCTCCCTTGAGGCTTTTAGGCTCTTTCTTCTCCTTGAATCCAAGAGCTCCATTTTCTGGGGCCGCTTCCTCGAGGGAGGGAGCAACAAGGGCCTAGTTGGCCCTAGACTGGCCAGGCCCTGAACTGGAGTATCTACAGGCTGGAGGGCCTCAGGGGCTGCAGGCTCTGCTGGAAGATCGGATCCACAACTACTGGGAGGCCGCAGCCAGCGCTAAGGAAGCAGGTGAAGCTGCCAAAGCCAGGCGCTGTGAGCGTGGCCTGAAGGTGGGTTGGGCCCAGCCAGGGAGCAGGGCTGGGAGAAGTGGCCAGCCAGGGAGCTGGGCTGGGAGGAGTGGGGCTGAGGACAGCGGGTAAGGCAGCAGGAGGTTGGGCCAGTGGATGGGAGAGACCCCTGGCCTGTCTTCATGCAGGGTCCAGACTGAGTTGGCTGGCTGGGTTTCTGGCTCTTCTTTCCCTCAGACTTTAGAGTCCCAGCTGGCTGCTGTGAGGAAAGGAAGGAAGATCAATGAGGATGAGATCCCACCTCCAGTGGCCTTGGGCAGGAGGCCCCCAGCCGCCCAGGAAACAACCAACAGGAGCCCTGAGGCAGACCGCCCAGCTCCCCCCGCCATGGAACCAGGTATGTGGAGACAGTCATCCTGTCCTAGTCCCCAAGGTCAGAGCCCATGGCCTGCTTCTCCATCCTGCCACTCTCCACTGCCATCAGCCAACCAGATCTATGGGTGTGGGGACCCAAGGTATGCACCTTCTTTGCCCCTGATGCCCCTTCTTTGGGTTTTTTGTTTTCTCCGTAGACCACCCTTCCCAACCTGAGACATGCCTCTTGGGCAGCCCTGGCATTTCTGCTCTACCTGATTCAGACCCACAGTCCCTATTGTTGGCCCGACAGAGAGAGTACAAAGTGGCTGCCCTGAATGCTAAGCGGGCTGGAGACTTGGGCCGTGCCCGAGAGCTCATGAAGATTGGGAAGGTATGACATCTGGCTCAGGGGCCCTGTGTCCAACCCCTCACAGATGGGGGCAGTGAGTTGCTCAAGGTTATGCAGCTAGAGTGGTTGAGACTTGAGTGAGACTGCCCTGAAAGGGAGTTTTCTTAGCCCAAAAGCTGCTTATGCCCACAGCAGCTTTTCCTTACTACTGCAGAGATTTGGTGCTGTCTTGGAGGCCCTAGAGAAGGGGCAGCTTGTGGACCTGAGCGCCATGCCCCCAGCACCTGAGGGTGAGTGTGAGGATGGTCTTGGGGAACCTGGTCAGGCTGGGGCTGGCCAGGCATCCCACCTACACTTCTGCTCTGGGTCCTCCAGACCTGAAGCCCTTCCCACAGGCTTCTGAGGCCCTCACAGCACCCTCAGTTTTACCCCCAGCAGTGGAGCGAGTGCAGCCAGTCATGGCTCCTGACACTCCAGCAACCCCAGGTAGGATGGAATGCTGGGACTGTGGAGTGGGGACCTGGGGAGAGGCAGGCAGAGCTGATGCCATCTTCTTTCTCCTTTCAAGCGACCCATAATGAGCCACAGACAGTGCTGGATGCCCTGCAGCAGAGGCTGAGCAAGTACCGCGAGGCAGGCATCCAGGCCCGGGGCAGTGGAGATGAGCGCAAGGCCCGGATGCACGAGCGCATTGCCAAGGTAGGCCCTCGGCTGTGCAGCCTCCTGCCCTATGTCAGCCTCTCCCTGTCTCTCCCTTTGTGGAGCCTGCAGAATGTTGCCCGCCATAGGTCCCTCCCTTTCTTTCCTTGCAGCAATATCAAGATGCCATTCGAGCATTCCAAGCAGGACGTAAAGTTGATTTTGCCGAGTTGCCTGTTCCTCCAGGTCAGTGGTGCTTGGCCTGGAGTTTTATGAGGTGGTCTCTAAGCAAGGTGGGGGTAGGGGAAACATGATATCTCATGTATCTGCCTCCACTCTATGGGAGCCACCCATCCCAGCCATGCCTAGGAAGACCTAGCCAAGGCCCAAGGCAGCATAGTGCTGCTTTGAGGCTACCCTACCCTTTTCCCAGCTCTCTGTCTTCTACAGGATTCCCCCCCATTCCTGGTCTGGAGCCCACTGCAGGCACTGAGGAGGATGCAGTGGCAGCTACTTTAGCAGCTGCCCAGAAACTGGCCACCTCAGAGGACACAGCCCTGGCAGAGGAAGATGGGGATGAGGTTTGACCAAGGGTCCAAGACTCCAGGGGTTGGTGGGGAAAAATGACAGATGAAGATTTAATCCAGACCCTATTGTCCACACTAGCAAGCCTAAGGAGGTAGATATTCTTTCTTCCATTTTGCAGAGAAAAAACTTGGCCAAGGGTACCCAGATAAGCCTTGGCAGAGCTAGATTCAGACCAAGGTCTGACTCCAGAAGCTAGGTCCAATCCCCAATACCCTGCTGTCCTGTTGGAGAGGTTAGCTCAGAGAGCTTCTGCAGCTTCTGCTCTGAGATTCTCTAGAGCCCATAAGGGAAGTCATTCATCTCAGTTCACATGGTAAGTTAGTGCAGTGTTAGGAAGAGAGTCCAAGTCTGGGAGCTGCCACAGCTGGGGTAGGAGAACAGATTCCCTGTGACATCCTTCTGATCATCTACAGGATGAAGCTCCTTCCCAGGCCCCAGTGGCCAAGAAGCCAGCACAGCCTCTGGTCCCTTCATCCCGGCCCCTGCCTGAGCCCAAGGCCTCGAGTTCTAAGGAGTCTCTGGGACCCTCTGGTGAGTTAGAGAGGAGCGGGGTGTCGGAGTGAAGGCTCCAGTGAAGGGCAGGCATGGCTCTAACCGATGTCGCTTGCCCTTCAGTGCGGGAGCAGCTGGCACTACTAGAGGCACGGAAACTGCAGTACCAGCGGGCAGCCCTGCAGGCCAAGCGGGGCCACAACCTGGAACAAGCCAAAGCTCATCTGCGGTTGGCCAAACACCTTGAGGCTCAGATCACCCAGGTCCGAGCAGGCCGACCTGTGGATCTCTCCAAGGTGAGTCCCATCTTGTTAAGCAACAGGACTTCTCAGGCAGAGGAGGTGGGTGGGAGGCTTGAGAAGGGCTGTGAACCAAGGCAGCTGCTTGGCGAAGGTGGGACTTGGATGGGGTGTGGCGATAGCTGAAAAAGAGCCTTTTGCTTATCCCTGTCTCTACTCTGTGCCCCTGAGAGAGGGTGGGGGAAGGCCAGGTGGGCTGCCTGTGGTCAGAGATGACAAGGCAGGGCAAGGCCAGCAGGAGGCAGAGTGTTGCAGCAGCCTGAAATAGAATGGGAGGCAGTGAGTCCCCATCACTGGAGGTTAGTAGAAGCTGGAGAAACATCTTGTTTGGATTCCTGTGCTCATTAGGCTCAGTAGAGGAATAATCTGACTGTTGGGGCCCCTGAGGGGCCTTGTGACCTGGACAGGTGCCTTCACCCTTGACGGATGAGGAGGGTGACTTCATCCTCATTCACCATGAAGACCTGCGACTCTCCCAAAAGGCTGAGGAGGTGTACACCCAACTACAAAAAATGCTGCTGGAGCAACATGAGGTCAGTAGACTGCTTGTCTGTCTTCCCATTTCAGTGCCCTCCCCTTTCCTCTCTTTCAAGAAAGGCATGGGGCTTAGACCACATAGGCTTGGATTCAGATTCTGGCTCTTCCACTTACTGGCTGTGTGACGTTGGGCAAGGCACTCCTTTCTCTTAACCACGTTTTCCTCATCTGTAAAATGGGATAATCTATCTCCTTCAAGGTGGTTATGAAGTTAGTAGAGTGGAGGGGAAGGTACTTTAAAGATGAGAAGAAGAAGTGTTATGGGAGACAGATACATATGTATATAGAGAAATTTATATAAATATAATGTATATTTGTGCCTATGGATCTAAACTGCTGGCTCCAAGTCAGCCTTTTGAAGTGATGTTTCTATTAGGTTTTGAAGGAAGAATAAGAGTTTGCTAATAAGTGAATTTTGGGGCCTGCCTATCATCAGGGAAGAAACAGCAAAAACTTAGAAAAGTGTGATAGGACTTGGAAACAGTCACCTTGGGGTGTGTGTTGGGGAAGGAGAGCAGTGAGACTACAGAAGGTCGGAGCTTTCAGAAGTCAGGCCTTGAAAGCCATCCTGGAATCACTCTGGGCCTCTCTTTTCAGAAGTGTCTGCTGTTCTCCAAGCAGTTCATGCACCAGGGCAATGTGGCCGAGACTACCCGGTAAATGCAAGGGCTTGGTGTGGGGCATGTGAAGTGGGGAGCAGAAAGTGAGCCCTGTCTCATGCTGACATGTACACCTGTCCCTGTCAGGTTTGAGAATCTTGCTCAGGACCGCAAGAAGCAGCTTGAGATCCTGCAGCTGGCCCAGGCCCAGGGCCTCGACCCTCCTAGCCACCACTTTGAGTTGAAGACGTTCCAGACTGTGAGGTACCAAAGCCTTAGGGAAACAGTGGCTCCATGCAGGGATAGACCAAGAGACTGAGGGCCAAGGCTGAAGACTTAGGCCCCTTTACTTTAGTGAGGCTTCCCCACTCTAGACACTGGGTCTTGGGGGTGTGGGAAGTAGGATATGATGCCTGCTTATGAGGAGCTCAGAACTGCAGGTGGCTAGGAACGGAGCCCTGGACTGGGGGTCACAGACCAAGGTCTGTGTATCACCTTTGCCACTCCTAGCCCAGGCAAGCTTTGCCTCTCTGGGCCCACTCTCCTCCTGACTACCACCTAGCAAGCAGGCAGGCACTGGAAGAGGGGACCTTTTTGACCGTGCTCCTTCACTTTGAGCTCTTTCTCCTTGTTTCCTGGTTATAGGATCTTCTCAGAACTCAGCAGCACAGAAATGCATCTGGTCATTGTCCGGGGAATGAACCTCCCAGCCCCGCCAGGTATCCCCAAGGCCACCCCTATTCCAGGAGGGTCTTGCCCAGACACTCCACCCCTGGCCAACAGGAGGCACTGGCTCTCCCTCCACATTAAGTGCTGGGCTCCTGGCTACTCCTTCTGACCCTGGCTCCCATTCCTCTTTCATAGGGGTTACCCCTGATGACTTGGATGCTTTTGTGCGGTTTGAGTTCCACTACCCTAACTCGGTGAGGTTCTGGTAGAGGTAGGATCCTCTTATTCCCATCTTCCATTTCAGGACCCTGTGCTCAATTCTTCCTATTCCTGGGAATTCTGGCTATAGGGAGAGGTTTGACTTTGGGCCCATTCTCTGTAGGAGTCCCTTCAGTCAACACTGAACCTAGAGTTGTTGGCCCTGTAGACCTGTTTTTTCAAGCTGTCCTGACTTCTCCCTTACTGCTTTAGGACCAGGCTCAAAAAAGCAAAACAGCTGTGGTGAAGAACACAAACTCTCCAGGTGAGGGCTGCTTTCTCCTTCCTCTCACTCTGTGAGTGTAGCACTTGTGTTTTTGGATCAATTATCTTACTTGGTACTCAACTTGGGAGATGAAGGTATCACCACTCCTCTCATGGGGAGACAGGCTCAGAGAGGTAAAGGGACTTGCTTACGACCTCAAAACAAGAAAGTGGTGGAAATGGGACTTGAATCTAAGAATCCTGACACCAAATTCCAAGTCCCTTCCACTTTGGTATAATCTGTATAATAAGAACTTCCAAGGTCTTCCAAGGCCAGGACTAGATGCTCTGCCACCCTCTGGTGGTAGTCCCTCTGAATTGCAGGCAGAGAGCTTGAGACGGGAGGCCAGCCCTGGGCCTCTGTTAACCATTTCCCTAGGGAAATCCCTGGGAGCCAAGCCCTTTCTTGTTTTGTCTCCTTACAGAATTTGATCAACTCTTCAAACTAAACATCAACCGAAACCACCGGGGATTTAGGAGGGTGATACAAAGCAAAGGAATCAAGTTTGAAATCTTCCACAAAGGGTGAGGCCCTGGTCAGTCAATCATACTGCCAAGCCGGATTGGGCAGAAGGAATGGCTTCCGTTGCTGCTGCCACCCCTGCTACTACTCATTTTTCTAACGCTGGCCTAAGCCAGCTCATTCCTGC